TAACTTTCTAAGTTGGATACCCTGATTCTGAGTTTCGCCTGATCTTCCCCGATATTTTTGCCGACGTAGATCTGTGGGGTAGCCAGCTTCCTGAACGGTTTAATTAACTGATTCCGCATTCGACTCGCTCACCCCCGTCTCGCTACTTGAAGGGTGGCAGATGTGAGGGATGGAAACTAAGGGAAAATTGAGGAACTTCGTGCCCACTGGTCACATCATTTGATATTACAGCGAGCATGAGGAGTATATTTAACCGTGCTAAAAGGATTGGAGTTTTGAGGATTAGAAACGGTTACATAAAACAGCCACAAACATCGTAACTAAATGAAAACACTAATTTGGCAAGTTATAATAACAATCTATAACAGGACTACTTTCACACAAGTTACATATAAACGAGATGGGTATTACTGGGTTTTTGGACTTTTTCCATCGTCCGGTATTCTAAAGAACTTTACCTTTTACTACCCCCAACACCGACAGCCTCTGTGGTCTAGTAGTCAGAGTTCCTGGCTACAGATCCAGAGGCTCCGGGTTTGATTCCCGGCGCTACCTGATTTTCTGAGAAGTAGTGAGTTTGGAACGGGGTCCACTCAGCCTCGTGAGGATAATTAGGAGATATTTCAAGGAAATAGCGACTACGGTCTGGAAAACCGAGATTAACGGCCGTGGGGATTCCTTGCGCTGACCACGCGACACCCTCTATCCGATAAAATTGGCACTAACTTCGCTGACAAGCGGCAGTCGCTCGGTCGGTATAGTCAGCTTGCGGACTACAGGCCACGGAGTTAGTTTTGTTACTCCTAATATCTATGATTTCTCTGCAGCATATACCGCCCATATTAATGTTAAAACACTCGTCATTTTTGCCACAGGATGTATTTATGTGTTTCATACGATTCTCACAATAAATAGCGATTTCATTTACACAACATTAACCGATGTGTCTTAGTAATGGAGATACAGCGTGTTTTCTGTGAGATAGGAAATGAATTTTTAAATAGTATCCAGACGGACTTTACGGTTCAATTCAAGGGGAGATTTCTGACTTTAATTATCAAAACTCCTATCATAAGCAGTTAAATCTCTCCTCAACTTTGTCTGTTCAAAACAAAGTCCACTTCCTAACCCTTTACCTTATTCACTTCCTAACGTTTTACCCTCTCTCTTAGCAGAATGGTTTGCTGTCCGCTTCTAAAACGTAGTCTCTCTGACTACTCCTCCCTCTACTCCACTTCCGAACCCTTTACCTTATTCACTTCCTAACGCTTTACCCTCTCTCTTAGCAGAATGGTTTTCTGTCCGCTTCTAATACGCAGTCTCTCTGACTACTCCTCCCTCTACTCCACTTCCTAACCCTTTACCTTATTCACTTCCTAAAGCTTTACCCTCTCTCTTAGGAGAATGGTTTTCAGTCCGCTTCTAAAACGTAGTCTCTCCGACTACTCCTCCCTCTACTTTCTCTACTTTTTCTACTTTCTCTTTCATGTTTCAACAGCACAGAGGAGGCATGAGAGTGGGAAAACATGTTTTGTTTCATGTCGCAATCTGATCGGGGCTGCAAAAGGGGTGGATGCCAAGATTATATGGGCAGGGTGAGGGAGGCAGCCCGTAATACAGCCAGCAGCGGTACTTCAAAGGGATAACTAGTATTCAAGTATCTACCAATATCACGTCTGTTATCTTGCATATGCAAAAGCAGAACTATTTTTATTACCAGAACTGTACATACTAATGTACATGGGCAGATATAATTTAATAGGACCGTGTAATGGATTAATTAGTCGTCCAGGTTCATAATATTTTTAACTCCCCCTCTTCGTTGTTTTTTGTTTGTTTGTGACATTCATAAACCTCACTTCACAATACGAGTGTATGCCACGAGGACAGGGGGCTAGATTGAGTGGCGAATTTACGTTATAGCGGCCGAGCTTTGCGCAGGCGTGGAGCTCCCAACGCGGAGTGAGCCCGCTGGAAATGAAAGTAATTATAATTTATGTGTTTTGAGAAGTAAGTTTCGACCTCTGCGGTCTATATGTTCATATTTTAATTAGGAAGGAGCAAAGCGTATGGACCGGTAACCAAGTAAGGGCTTTCGAGTGCCAGAACAAACAAAGCACAGAGGGAATCATAATAAATTCCTTATCTAGCAGCGGTGGGGGGGGGCACGCGGTAGTGTAGTTGGCTGAGGCACTATGCTACAAGCCGGAAGGTCGCGGATTCGATTTCCGATGAGGTCACTGGATTTTTCAATTTACCTAATCCATCCAGCCCCACTATGGCCCTGGGGTCGACTCAGCCTCTAACAAAAATGAGTACAAGGAATCTTCCTAGGGGTAAGGGGCGGCCGGAGCGTAAGGCTGACCTCACCGCCATTTGTGAGCCGAATGTCTAGAAAATGTGGGACCTTCGGCTTCTCACACGGATAGCTTTACCTTTATGTATCTAGCAGCGGATACCAAAAGGAGAAAATGGGAGTTTTTTGTGGGCCCTTTTAGGGCTCCTTCAATATCTAGAGTATGTAGCGTCGAATGGAAGATGAATTGGACGGGATGTGGAAGGAAACTGTTGTGGACTTACTATATATTGCCGTTGGGAGAAAGAAAAACCACGAAAAACTTGTTCCCGGCCAAGATTCGAACTGACTACTTCCTGAATACATATTTGGAGCGTTACCAGTATACAAACCGGCTCGGTACGGTTAGGGTAGTTTGGGTATGTGATCAGAGTGGATCAGAAAAGGGCAGTTTAGATGATTTTTGGAAGTAAGCCGGAAGGCAGAACAAAAGTAATAAGGTAGACCTTGACACGGATGGAAGATGCAGAGAATGATTTACGAGAACTGAAAGCGTAAAGATAGAGCAAGCAGGAAAATAATAGAGAAGAATGGAAATGTGCTGTAAAGAAGGGAAAAGCTTATAAACAGATGAGAAGCGAGAAGTAAGTACGTAAGGGGCTAAATATGATATTACAGTCAACGCGCTCTATTACGTGACAATAAATCAGTTCCTAAAGTTTTTAATGAAAACTTAGTTAAACTATTCTCCCAGATTATATGAAGCAGCTGAGATAGCGTAGTTTGTAAAGAGACTGGCTACCAACCGGGGTTCGAGGCCCAGTAGGGTCAATAATCTTCTCTTATTCACGTCGTCGAGACCGGATCTGGGGCCCAACCAACTTACTATCCAGTGGATACTGAGGGTAAAGCAGCTCGGACGTGAAGCTGACCACTCACCTCCAACTATTTCCGAGATGAAGAAAACTTTGACCTATACATCCACTCCCCCCCCCACGCCCTCATGGCGCATTGCTTAATTAGTTAAGCACAAGGACAACTTTACCTTAGCCTGATTAGATAACCTGTTGCCATTAAGACAGTTAGGCGTACTATGTTCTGTTATATCGAACCTGTGAATGGGTTGATTTGTGGACACTCTGATCACACGCAACTGCACAGCCGCTGTTATTCAAGATGTCTAACCCAAAACCGCTAATAGTGAATAATAAAGGTTGACGTTGTGGGGTTATTGGCGTACATTAAAGTGACACTGGTAGCTTTCAAGTCAGTGACAGGTTGGAGACAGGTCAATTATGAATGTCCTGCAATTTAAGCCTCTATTAGAAAGCAAAACCGTAGACAGCAGCGGTCTATATGCCACAGAGGGTATCCGAAAACAGCGCGCTCTGTCTATTATGCTCCACTAATCCTTAGACTATCTGAGAAGGGTCGCGCCATAGCTCAAGCGGTTAGTCGCTGGTTTCCAACCGCGGCGGCCCTGGTTCGATCCCGGTTCTGGTCAAGTGATATTTGTGGTGGACAAAGTGGCGCTGGGGCAGGTTTTCTCCGAGTACTTCGGTTTCCCCTGCCAATCTTCATTCCACCAATTGCTCCATAATCACCCTCACCTATCATCTGGGGCTGGTACAATAGGCCAGAAGTGGCCGCAGTACAAGGGAAGTCCCACCCCACTAACAATAAAAAAATCTAAGGGAGAAAAATTCATTTTAACGGCTTTAATAAGCCGGTATAGTGACCACACTAGGAGCTGGGAGATCGGGGAATCGCAGTTTGAGTTCTGACAGATAAGAGAGCTTTCTCCTACATCAGCAGCATCCAAGTATAGCACTTCAGATGGGTGTGTGGAGATATAGTTCCACCATTCTTGACATAGGTACTAGATGGAGGTGAGTGGTCAATGCCCCGGCCGCTTTACCCCCGGTGAAATCGCCCCTTGCATGCATTGGACAGGAGGCTGGGTGGATCCCAGAGACGGCCTGGACGCTGTGGAGAAGAGAAAAATCTTGATCTGCCGGAAATCGAATCCTGGCCGTCCAGCCTGTAGCCTATCACTGCACTGACTGAGCTATCCCAATTTCTATACGTTCAGTAATATGAAACATAAATATCCGTCCAACTACACGATTTGTATCGGCAGTAAATGCATATCGTGAATAATGTTGTATCTTTGGGGAGCACCAAATTGGAAAATAATTTTATCCTGTAAATAACAATAGCAGTTTATTATGTTCTTGACAAAGTTCCTAATGTAAAAATTGTCCCATAATTCTGGAATCATAGTTAGAAAATCGTGCAGTTAAAAAATGGCAGGGTGAAAATTGCCTCGACATTGGGTTGGAGGGGGGAGACGAGTGCGTGGCCACCAGGATCTCCTGACTTCGCATCTCTCGACTTTCATCTATCTAAAAACCAACGTTTAAGATACGAAGTTAAGGCAATGTTGAACAACTTCAAGAGCGAATGTCACTGCATGCAATGAGATTAAATCACAAAAGATTCACATCGTTGTCACTGACTGACAGAATCGTCTGCAAGTTTGTGTCGGAGTGAATGATGCACGCACTGAAAATGTTTTTATAAAAGACTGCGTTAAAATTCCAACATTTCCTTTGGGTCCGTAATTTTGGAAACCCTGGGAAGACAAAACAATGCTAGGATGATGATGATGATGATGATAATAATAATAATAAATGTACATTACCTGCTACATCCGCTACAGTAGCTTTGGGTCCACATTTCACAAAATAATTATAGAATGTGACCATGACTAGACCTCCATTCCATGCCTGAAAAAAAGTAAAGAGATCAATTCTTTGAGGCATGAACTCCATCTACATATTTAAAAATTCAGTCTGTACCTCACAGGAAACACACTCCGTCTCCGCTACAAAGCCCAACCGGTTAATGCTCTTTAGGGAAACAGTCGCTGTTTATTGTGAGAACCATACGGAACACACAGATACACTGTGTGGCCAGGATGGAGAGTTTTGGTTATTTTAAAGCAGGTGGTACGTATATTGCCCATTGTGGTTTAACGGGTTCACGTATTCAAATAGTGCTATGCTTCAAGATACCTTGTGGATGACAGCAACTTTATTACACGAAGGCTGCACGTTGTGAGGTAATCAATAAGTTGTGAGTGGTTGGCCGTGAAGAACCTTTATGGTTAGCAGCCGTAAGCGACGCATAATGAAGCCTGTTGCCCAGCAACGACCAGTGAAGACAATAGACTGGGACTTAGCATGTACTGAAGTGATTTGTGTAGATCGGTTAAATTGTTATAGGAACAAAAGACAGATATCGGAAAATATTCCTTTGTAAATAGGACCATCCAGCCCTGGACCCAACCACCTGCAGATGCAGGACTCTCTCCTGTAAACCAAGTAATTTTAGGAAAAGGGTTAGGAAAGTGATAAATAAGGCGAAGTGAAGGTGTGGGGGAAATCATCCAAAAATGCAGTGAAGTGAAGTGAAGTAAACTGTGGTGAGGATGTGAAGGGTACGTAAGTGTAGGGAAGTGGAATGAAGGGAAGTTCATGGTGAAATGTGAATGCATCAGTTCATGGCATTACGTATCTCATTACTGTTACTGTTTAGTGTATCATGTGCTTATTTTTATTAACATTTATTTAAATAATTGTAGTTCTAATTGTATCTGTTGTAGTTGTAAGTGTATTTGCATTGTATTCATTGTGTGTAGTGTGTCCTTTGTTGTCTGTGTAGTTTTGTGTGCTGCATTTTGTTTGAGTCTGGTGTGTTATTTGTGTATTGTGTCTTATTATAATACCACTGCCACCGGGTAATAATCCATTTGCAGTTAAATAATAATAATAATAATAATAATAATAATAATAATAAGTAACAAATGCAATTATCAATCTAAATCCCGCGTCTAGTCACTAACACGCGAAAATATTGTGTTACTCCTTATGTACTTCTGTTCAGAATCTTTTAAACGCCGTTTCGGAAGCTTGTTGGCCATAATCTATTCTCTCTGTAACATAAACTTTGAAATATTTTATCTAATTGTCGTTAAACTTACTATTATCATAAAGACACATGTGGGATGACGTTGCATTAAACCACTTTCTCATTTATGAGACTTTTATCTTGTTCAGAAAGGGTGATTAGCGGTAGCTGTAATCAAGATATGATCTCCGTTCTACAGGACGTGTTTTTTGACCAGGCCTCTGGATTGCGCATGTGAAGTGAGAAAAAAATATTGCAAACATATCGGGCCAGTGGTTGTAGCTGCACTGGGAGAGTGACGAAATGTATGTAAGGTCCTGTTATAACCCATATAGGCCCTTCAGTCCCTATTTCAGTTAGTGGACTCGACCAAATCCACTGCGCATACTGTTGAGAGTGGCCAGGTCTAAAAAGACGGGCTGTAACTGTAATTACGGTATCATCTCTTTCTACCACGATTTCCACGGCATTTCCTTGCCCCCTATATACCCTTATACGTTTAATGTTCTTATCTCTTCTCCCTGTAGAGTCCTTTTTCCCTTGATTAGCCGTAATTTTGTCTCCTCTCCTGTTCTGCTTCCAAAATCTGTCTTTTCTAGCCCTACTTCACCTTTCATACTTAACGCACACATACACTGCCTAATCTGGGCATCATATAGCAAACATGAATCACAGAAACAATTCACGACTGGAGAGAACCGCAGTGTGATTCAATAATACAAGCTTAAACGTTTTAGGCTCTCTTAAAGTGCGTGTATTTAGCATATTATATTTCATTCAGCATAAATTCTTTCAATTTCAATTTCAATGTAACATACGTTTGCTGCGTCTTTTCTGTTTGAAGTTATTTTAATAACGCTGTCAGGGTCATGCCGCACTTTAGGCGGTTGGTCGCCGGCTTCCTACCACGGTATCTCGGATTCTGCCCCAGGTCAGGTCATTTGGGATTCTGTGATGGATTAAGTGGCTATGGGGCGGGTTTTCTCACAATGCAGCGATTTCTCATAATAATTCTCATTCTACCAACTGCTCCAGTGAGGCTATTTGTGATTCTCAAAGTTCTGTCTAGTCCTTCTTAGGAAATTCATGGATATTGCCTTTTCTTAGGCTGTTACGGCTTCCTACTACACCTTTTCAAGGTCACTATTAACGAATATAGTATAATTCAATGTTCTGTTGTTCACGTTATCGACAGTGTCTATACAGGGTGTCTCAGGAGGAAAGGCCAATATTCTGGGAGGTCACAGTATCGGTCCTTCTAAGCAAAAAAAAAAAAAAGTATATGTACATGTGTCCTATTCCGAACGGTTTCCGAGATACAGTTATTTAACTGTACAGTTCCAAAATTTGTTGATAAGAAAGATATATTACGTACTGTTTCTAATACCGGTATTTATTGTTCAAGTGACAAAGTTGGTACAGTTTACCTAGTTTACTACATTTTCGAAAATTCTACGGTCACCATCAATTCACTTTGCAACTCGTGTGAGGACATGGCGTGTTGCTCGTCTGTACAGGGTACAGTGTACTGTACCGTGAAATAGCTCTGTTTCGGAAACCGTTCGGAATAAGACACATGTACACATACACTGTTTTCTGCTTAGAATGACCGATACTATGACCTCCCAGAATACTGACCTTTCATCTTGGGACAACCTGTATATAAACTAGAGATAATAAATACAAAGCGTTGCCCTTTTCATACGTATGAATCGGCATGAATACTCGTGTTAAGCGGTTTGATATTTCGCAATGAAGATTATTTTACACAGTGGAAATACCGTCACATCCAAATGCTGGTCTGTGGACTTTTTTTTTCCCCCCCATGAAACTTATCAAGTGTTAATTCATATCACACCGCAGTGTAACGTCAGCGCGCATTGGCCAACAGTTCCCTTTGTATGCTTCTCAGCTCATGTTCATGGAATGCTGCAAGTTTCTATTGCAGTCCATGAATGTAATTTGACAGCGCGTCACTAGTACAGGAATGCACACACCACTGTCAGCTTCCGATGACTGCATTCATTGTACTGCATTTATCTATCTAGGGCTCTGCTGCCCTTGCGGACCTTGTCCGATTTTTCAGTTTCTTAATCTATACACAATCGGTAAGACACCTTACACGGGGGACCAGCCCGTCGCAAGACCACTACCTACACACAGAACAACACAAACAGAATAAATGCAGACTGACATCCATGCCTCGAGTGGGATTTGAACCCACGATCCCAGTGTTCGAGCAGGAGAAGACGGTTCATGCCTTAGACCGCGCGGCTACCGTGACAGGCAGCATGCTTAATGTAAACGGTCATAAGCTTGACCAACGCCTCGGCACGGACCGTACAGAAAACGCCGCTTCCAACAGCTAATAAATCGTTGCGTGTTACAAGCCGTTACCTAGCAACGGCTGTTTCTGTTCCTACAGGTCTTGCTTTGAGAAAATATGCCACAATACTTAGACGATCTCTGGAGGTCACATCTGCCCGTCCGTCACATAGAATCAGCTGGGTACACCGTCTTTTTTTTGTAATTTTACATTGGAGGGTTTTAACTAAAACTACCGGGAAGTTATTAGTTTCAACCATATAGTTGTTACTGGCTCAGGATATTGTCTTCTGGTGTTTACAGTGTTTTGGTCTTGTTGTTCTGTTGGAGAGCCCGACACTGCCCCTCTGAGCTGCTGCTGCTGCCCACACGCCTGGGAGCAATGTGTTACTGCAACAGACAGTTGGCAGGTGGGCGACTCTTCCCAAAGCCACTGGATTGGTTTTCTTTTTTTGTGTGCGGGGAATTCCCTTGTGTTTTATTCGTGTTTTGGCGTATCGGACGATTCTTCATTGACACCTTGGAAAATCACATACGAGGCGTTACTCTTCTTGCTATTTTGTTCGAGAGGTCCTGGGTTGAAATTCCTGGCCTGGAAGTCTGCTGTCCTGATTGAGTCCTTCGTCCTTACAGCAGTCCCGCCAGGAAAATGTACTTCAAAATTAGGATTGAGTCTATTATTCACGCTGTTTAACCTGAACTGCTGATGGCATCGTTAAGTAAGCAAATAAATAAATGGATGCATATATATATATAGACTATTACTGAGCAGGGTAGCTCAGGCAGTAGCGCCAAAGTCTTGAGTTCGTGGCAGTCCTGTTTCCAATCTCGTACGGTGCGGTGCAATGAATTTCAAACTTATGTTTCCATTTTGTTTTTGAAGCCAAATATTTGTTACGGCTCCCTTTGCTAAATCCAGCACATCACATCTCATGCGCGCTTTCTGTTTTCATATAATAATAATAATAATAATAATAATAATAATAATAATAATAATGGGGCTCGTGGTACCGTAGTTTGTTGAGGCATTATGCTACAAGACGGAAGGTCGTGGTTTCGATTCCCGATGAGGTCATGGATTTTTCAATGGACCTAATCCTTCCAGCCGCACTATGGCTCTGGGGTCGACTCAGCCTCTAACAGAAATGAGTACCAGGAATCTTCCTGAGGGCAAAGGGCGGCCGGGCGCGTAAGGCTGACAAACTCACCGCCATCTGTATGCCGATTGTCTAGGAAAATGTGGGAGCCTCGATAGCTTGTTACGAGGATAGCTCTGCCTTTTGTATAATAATATTAATAATATCGTTGTTAGACGTAAAGTTGTTAATTAAATATCATCTGATGAAGGCGTGTGGAAAATGCAAATGCAGGTCCACGACTTTCTGGCCTTGGCACAGGATAGAGATCAGTGGTTGGATCTCGAGCCCCGGCTGCTTTAACCCCTGCAGTAGCGCTCCCAGAGTCGGTCTGGAAGCTGTAGAGGAGAGAAAAACCGCTTTCTTGCCCGGAATTCGAATCTTCCATAGCAACGGTATTCATTAGAAAGTGATGTGTATCGTCCGTTGATATATCCTGACCTAAGGTGTACATATAGCTGTAGTTAATGGGACGTAGAGGCCGCGACATAGCTCAAGGGGTTAGTCGCTGGCTTTCCACCGCGGCGGCCCGGGTTCGATCCCGGGTCTGGTCAAGTGGGATTTCTGGTGGACAAAGTGGCGCTGGCGCAGGTTTTCTCCGAGTACTTTTGTTTCCCCTGCCAATCTTCATTCCACTAATTGCTCCACAATCACCCTCACCTATCATCTGGGCCTGGTACAATAGGCCAGAAGTGGCCGCAGAACAAGGGACTTAGTCCCACCCCACTAGCAATAAAAAAATAATGTGACGTAAGTTGTTCAGTGATTGAGGTTAGCTCTTTCTAATGGAACCAACAGAGTAGTGTCCTCCACCCCTTCACCTGAGGACGGAAACAGATCCAGTTTCCGAGACGTCCTGTTCTTTAGAATACCGCACGATGGACAAATTAAAAAAAAGTAATCCTGAATTAGAAAGTTCTGTTCTATTTTCTACATACGATTCGTGTCAGAATTGACATCTTTAATGAACACACAGGACTTTCTTCTATAAGGCCACCCACTCATTGCATGTAATAGTCTAGAATGTGTTTTAGACAAATACCATAAAATATATGTGCCCCCGCCGTTTATATATAAAAAATATTCATATGAATATGGTGATGCATAGATTCCAAATTACTAGTTATTTTCTAAAGCAAGAAATTAATTGTCGGAAGTTAATTTCCTGCACCCGGGGGTGTTTTAAAGTTTCATTAAATATTCAGATTGGAGCGTGTTTGGGGATAGGAGGGGGCTGGTCAATATGTCAGACCGCATCCAACTGGCCTTCTCGTATTTACTGTTCCCATTACCGTATACTCCCCCCGACCCCCCGACCCTCTTTATATCATTCAGTGAGGACCCTCGCACTAATTGACCGTGCACTTAATTACATTACTTCTATTTCATAAGATGGTAAAATTCGTTTCGAATTTACGAGAGAGACAGAGAGAGAACGGGAGAGACAAATGTTCGAAACGTTAAAGATAATCTTCGTATATTTAGCCTATACCATTTGGCCAAGGGCGAAAATTTGTTATGCGGTATGTTCGTGTAACACCCATTACGAATTTAACGACTAGTCTCACCGCACTGTTAACTCTCTCTGCTTTCTCTCGCATTCCTTTCCATCCCTACATATTATCGAATGATACGTCGAGGCCGAAGTTTAACTCCCACGAATGATACAAATAATCAGTCATAAACTATCTTGTAAGATTTGAGGTTTTCACGCCGGTGACTATGAAGAATGCCGTCTTCTGGGATGTGGTGCCATATAGATCTTATGTGAACCGATGTTCCTCCGAAACGTCGGTTCACATAAGATCTACATGTCGTCACATCCCAGAGGATAATGCCCCTCATATTCGCTGTTGCTGTGACAATCTGAAACCCAGGAGATGTACAAATGTTTATCACGATGAAACTTACTAATGATTTGAGGACGTCATCGGGGACGTTTCGGGAGGAGTTGCACAGAGCGAAGGCCGAGGAGTGTGAGAACATAACGGGGGCCTTGCTAGCGGCCAGAGCGTCCTTCATGGTGTGGACTGAGGCGTGTGACAGGTCCACCATCATGCCTAGCCGGTTCATCTCGCGGACCACGGCCTGAAAGACAAACAAGCACGTGTAGGAAACAATGAGACAAATCACATTCTGAAGTTACAAGTACAGGACTGATAAAAATGGGGTGTGCTCCTGTTTATATTTTGTTTAGTCTTCAACTCCGTGATTTATGCGGCCACCTAACCATTGTCTGTTTATTCGTACGCGATCTCCACGCTCTCTGTGTGTCTTTGTACGTCTGTCTGTCTGTGAACCTCGTCCCGTTAGCTTCTGATTGCCTGAACCAATCTTTATGAAACTTGGTAAGCACAAGGTGCGACAATTTAATTCCCGGAATGGCCCTGTGAAAGCAACATTTGCTTACCTGTGCACAAGCGGCTGCTGTCGCCTTCGAAATACTCCCCCTGTGAAGCTATGCACTTCGTGAGACGATGGTGCCACTGCCGGAAACAGTCTTGAAAATCATTTAACGGAATACGTCGCAGTAACGTTGTCACATTGCGTTGGATGTCAGGAATGTCAGTAAATCTTTGTCCCTTCAGGGCATTTTTTTTAATTTTGGAAAGAGTTAAAAATCACAGGGGGCTAAGTCAGGCGAATATGGAGGATGGTCAATTTTTGTAATGGATTTCTTAGCCAGGAAGGCGCGAACTCTTAACGCATCACGCGCAGGCGCGTTGTCGTGGTGTAGAATCCACTTGTCAGGCCTGAGTTCGGGTCTTTTTCTCCGAACAGATTCCCGTGACCTTGTCAGCACTTCCAAATAACACTGTTGATTCACGGTTTGTCCTTTTTCAATGAATTTATAGTGAACTATCCCCTTGTGATCGAAGAAACACACAAGCATGGACTTGAACTGCGAGCGAACAGTCGACCCCAGGGCCACAGTGCGACTGGAAGTATTAAGTCAACTGAAAAATCCAGTGACCTCATCGGAAATCGAACCCGCGACCTTCCTTCTTGTAGCATAGTGCCTCAACAAACTACATTACCGCGTGTCCCCCTAATAGTACAAACGAAACAGTCTTAAAATAGAATTAAGTTAATCGAAGAATTTTAGAGGTAAATTGGGTACAGTTGTCTCGAAGCACGTGGCAAATTGCGTCGTTCATTTCAGTCGTGGGTCACGGACGAAAATGGAGGTCTCTCCGTGAGTACTGGAGAAACAACTGAAACTGCATCCGCTCTCTTTCAACTCACTTTACAGTTTAACATATAGGAACGCCGCTGTATTTTACATTCAAATTGCTCCACAATTAAAGTTCATTTTACCCTACGCCCACCATTACGGGTATGTATATACGGTATACATTAGATCCATATATTTATTGCCAGCAATTTACATTCTGACGATGTGCACTAAATCTTAGTTACGCGGATTACAGTGCGGTCCAAACAGAACACGCAAAATAAAGTACTTCATTGAAATATAAACAATTCGATTTGCGTACGTCGTTTTGCACGAAGTATGTAAAACGGACACATAAAGGGAAAGTCGAATATTAATCTCTGAATATACATAACGTATTTCTATAGACATTGGTCCTGACAATGTAAATCATTATGAAACGAAATTAATTGACGTTTTTTTATTGCTAGTGGTGTGGGACTAAGTCCCTTGTACTGCGGCCACTTCTGGCCAATTGCACCAGCCCCAGATGATAGGTGAGGGTGATTGTGGAGCAATTTGTGGAATGAAGATTGGCAGGGGAAACCGAAGTACTCGGAGAAAACCTGTCCCAGCGCCACTTTGTCCACCACAAATCCCACTTGACCAGACCCGGGATCGAACCCGGGCCGCCGCGATGGGAAGCCAACGACTAACCGCTTGAGCTATGACGCGGCCCTTTAATCGAAGTTAATATTATGTCTGTTTCACGACAGACGAATCGGTATTCGATTCCCGCCAGAGGCAAAAGAGTTTTATATTCTACGTAGTGGTGAGACCGGCTTTGGGGCCCACTCAGCTTCCTATTAAATCGGTACTGGAGGGCCGGGTATAGCGACTGGCTACGGGCTGGACGACTGTGTGGTCAGTGTTCGAGTCCCGGTAGGATCAAGTATATTCTTTGCTCCGTGTCGTCCACACCGGTTCTGGGGCAAATTCAGCCTCGAATGGGTACCCTAGGGCTGTATGTCCGGGGGTAAAACTGGGCGTGAAACTGACCACTCACCTCCAATTAGTGCCGAAGTCAAGAAAACGCGACTCCCCCATACGCCTTCATAGCGTAGTGCTTAATTATTTAAGCACAGGGACAACTGTACCTTTAACCCTATGGGGTGCATTATTTCAGTGACGAAGGTAAGAACTTTGAAGATGTACCTCCACTCCCCCACATTCGTCATTGTGTGATGCTTCGCTAATTAAGTATATTTATACGTGTGTAATATTCACTGGCAATCTACCAACATGACCGGTTTGAAATTTACCGTGTGCCAGTGCCAACCACGTCAAATGACGTCCCACATCTACTGTGTACGTAAATGACATTCCCTCCTACAGATGCCACTACAGAACATATTTTCTGGGACTGTGAACTGTACGAGGAACAAAGGACAGCAGTGATGGGCATACCCAAAGACAGTTACAGAGCTCTTAAGGCTAGAGGAATAAGATCTGTCCAAGGCGTCTGTTCCCTCATAAAATAATTCCTAAATTTATTTAAAAAAGAAAAATAAATTAATGTACAAAGTAGTAAGAGAATATTCTTAGAGTTAAGTGAAGAGAGATGTTCAAATATCGCTGGGTGACCGCTATGATAGAATAAGATGTTTATAAGAATGTGCTACAGAGGGCCTAATGGGCATAACCTAGGTCTCTTTTGTATATGCATGATTTTTTTTTCAAAATAAAAAAAGAAGGGCTCAGCTCCATGATGTTTATTCACAATTCTTTACACAATTTGAGCAATTAAGACATTACAGAATCAGTGGCCCTTCCTACTAAAATAAACGCGGAAAGGACATGTTGGCTGGCAACGTAAAGTACACCGCAGGAAGGAACGAATATTTCATTTACTACAATTCGCTGAGATCAGCCTTGCTGTTAGAAAGCTTTCAGATTGGAACACCTCCAATCCAAATGCCTTGTGATGTGCTCTCAAATACAAAGGTCCGCTCAGCAGAAATTCCTCTTAAAACTCATCACTACGGTGAAGCTTGGTGCCGGAAGGGGGGGGGGACTTCGCTGGATTTATAATCAATACATTTTTCATCATATACTTTGACGTAAAAATGCACTCACCTTACCAAACTCCGTCAGTCCTCCGTGTTCTGGGTACTTCCCTCGGTGTTCCACGGATGAAGAATCAGCCCTAAAGAAAAATGAAAACGTGTGTTCAATTAATCCGGTTGAATATCTACAGGCTGGCGGTAAACTGTCACAGTAGGTAACAAGGTAAATGTGTCCCTGTACGTAACTAATCAAACACTACGCCATGAAGACGTTTTCTTGACCTCGGCACTAGTTGGAGGTGAGTGGTCAGTGTCACGCTCAGTCTGTTTTACCCCCGGGGAAAAAGCCTTCGACGTGGAGAGAAAAAATCTTGCCTACAGTTAGACCCTAACTGCGACTTCCCGGTCGTCCAGCCCGTAACCAGTCGCCATACCGACTACGCTATCCCGGTTCCTGGTAACCTTACATACCAGTAAATGAACTGACAGTAAACTGATATACCGGTAAATAAACTGACAGTAAACTGACATACCAGTAAATAAACTGACAGTAAACTGATATAGCGGTAAATAAACTAACTGTAAACTGACATACCAGTAAATAAACTGAGAGTAAACTGATATCCCGGTAAATAAACTGACAGTAAACTGATATACCGGTAAATAAACTAACTGTAAACTGACATACCAGTAAATAAACTGAGAGTAAACTGATATACCGGTAAATAAACTGACAGTAAACTGATATGCCAGTAAATAAACTGACAGTAAACTGATATACCGGTAAATAAACTAACTGTAAACTGACATACCAGTAAATAAACTGAGAGTAAACTGATATATCGGTAAATAAACTGACAGTAAATTGATATGCCAGTAAATAAACTGACAGTAAACTGATATACCAGTAAATACACTGACAGTACACTGATATCCCGGTAAATAAACTGACATTAAACTGACATACAGTAAATAAACTGACAGTAAACTGATATAGCGGTAAATAAACTGACAGTAAACTGATATGCCAGTAAATAAACTGACAGTAAACTGATGCCAGTAAATAAACTGACAGTAAACTGATATGCCAGTAAATAAACTGACAGTAAACTGACATACTAGTAAATAAACCTGTCTGCTTTTATTCAGTGTTTCTGTTGTTCTGTAGGTACGTAGTGCCTTTGCGACGGGCTGATCCCCGTCCAAGGAGTCCTACCGACTGTGCGGGACTACGAAACTGCAAAAGCGGCCACTGCCCAACAAAGGGCTGTAGAGCCAGTATGAATGAACTGTGGAGATGACATATGGAGGCAGACTCGGTTAATCACTACAAGATATTACCGTGTTTCTCTATCTGTTATGTGTTGTAACTTACCAAGGAGTATTGCATGTGTGGGTGAGCGTCATGTAACGCACACCAAGGTCGTACAGAATCCTGAGGACAGCCAAGCTGTTGCCGATACTGTGGCCTCCTTCCACGCCGATCAGAGAGGCTATGCGGTTTTGTTCGTGTGCTTCGATTATCTCTGGAACAGAAAATGTATTAGGTTACTTAATCTGCGTGAATACGCAGTATAATAACTCATGGACTTAGTAACTACGAGTATATGTAAAATGAATTAAGTCACTTACTAATTTACTGAGTAAGTAACAACACTGACACGTATCGGTTTTCAATGGAAAATAGTAAACGTATCTCTGTAACGGGCCGTGAAGGTCCATAGGGTTGTGAGACGTCGAGGCTCACACATTTTCTAGGCAATCGGCTCACAGATGGCGACGAAGTCGTCAGCCTTACGCGCCGGGCGCTCTTTACCCCCAGGAAGATTCCTGGTACTCATTTCTGTTAGAGGTTGAGTCGACCCCAGGGCCATAGTGGGGCTGGAAGGATCAGGCCAACTAAAAAATCGAATGACCTCATCGGGGAATCAGAACACAGAAAATTGGAACTTACGTTAGGAGTGGTAAGCATTTTGGTAACTATAGTGTTACCAATACCACAGTCTGGGAAAGGCTGCTCTGAGGTGCATTTTAATATTATCTAATAACTATGTAGAGCTGAACCCTTCTTGAGAAGATGCCATTCGCTCATTTACCGAAGAACTTAGCAACACTTTACGAGACGCGAAGCTTCATTACTTGTTCACAAGAACCCCCACCCTTTCATGGTCCCTATCCTGAGACAAATCAATCGAATCCATACTACCCCACGACATTTCTCTAAGATCCACTTTAATATTATCTTCCCACTTATGTGTAGGTCGTCCTAGTTGTATCTGTCTTTCTGGCTTTCCACCAAAATCCTATACGCTTTGCTCTTCGTCCCCATGAGTGCTACATGCTCTGCCTATCTCATTCTCCTTGAGAATTTTAATAGCATCAGTCCATATTTTCCGAATTATATCCCTAATATTTCTACCCAGGATTTCATATTTGTCGATTCGTTTTTAGCGTAGTTAAGGACGCTGTCAGAAATTGGGACTACACAGCTCAGCAAGACGGATGCGAATAACAAGGAAATGTCATGGCCTAATTTGAGGTGCCGGCCTGAAGTTTGCCTGGAGTGCTTGAGAAAATCCATTAGGAACCTCGCTCAGGTTAGACGATAAACAGCCTGAGATTCGATCTGAGTACCTCCTGAATATTAGACAGAAGCATTACCGTTTGAGTCACCTTGCTCGGTAATATTGTGACATGACGCCTGAAAGCCGGAATAGCTGAGCCACAGTAGACGTTAATTGCTAGGCAACGTCTCGATAAACATGTTCCCTCGGCAACGAATACGTGAGCAAAATTCAAAGTATTGTTGCGCTATAACGATGGAAACGGCGTTTTCTGCTGGATCCTCCCCGAGACTACATAATGAGGATCCAAGGCCGGCTGGAGGCAAGTCGAATACCTCCACCGTAGCCCCACGAGTCATAGGTGGCGACGAAAATGGAACCCAGTGCCTGGGGGTGTAACTGGGACATCCTGTTCCTGGAGGGTATAAACAGGGAACCTGGCCCTACAGGTTGGGGGAGTCTCGAATCTGAGACAGTAAAATATGGTCATAAGACCCGCGGCACTCAGATCCGAGAATGAATGCGCTGGCGAGGACCAACAGCAACTGTAAACAACAGAACCATCCTCTAGTGAGATAGGATGTTACGTAAGCACTATAACCGCAAGTTTTTGGTTGAAAAAAGAAAATACCGGTCGTGGGTCTCAAGGGGCTTGACGCCAGTCATAAAGTAACTCTCTCTCGAACGTTGCTGAATTAGAACTGAGGGAGCCTTTTGAGACGGCAGTCGAAGATGAGAGAGAAGAGACGGTAAGAGAGGAACTAGTGTGCTGCAGTTACAGTGAGAAACCCGTTGCCACGTTTACTGGTTCTTCCTCTGCGTAGCCCCTTCTGGGCGACTATTTCTATAAGCGTTCCGCACGGCTCTTATTGCCACGCGCTGGCGACCACTTCTATAACTGCCCTTAGTTCCTCCCCCGTCGAACTCTTCACCTCTGTGTTGTCTCCTCTCATGTTCCCCCTCGTCGCGCGCCTGGAGTCCTGTGTAGTGGAATGGTTCAAGGTGGCAAGGGAATAATTGGGCGCCATGTAACCATATGTTACATGTGGGTTAAGAGGGATTATGGGGTTGCGTTGAACGATTTTAACGGACGAACATGAGAGATCTATCTCAGAGCTTAACGGTCCCTGCTTCGACGCGACAAGGGAACGCTAAGAAATATTGGAACTCCTTCTTAACCAATAAATGTAAAAGGTAAAGTTGTCCCTCGAGCGGTCTAAGGCATGTACTATCTTCGCTCGCTTGGAAACCGGGATCGTGGGTTCGAATCCCACTCAGGGCATGAACGTTTAGTTTGTGTGCGTGCGTTTTCCTGTGTTTGTGTACAGGTAG